AGTCTCATATTATTCAGTGAAAAAGATTATAATCAGTGTGTGCAGTATGACATCAATCTTATTACATAAACATATTCAAATACACATTAAAAAGTAATATAAAAAATCTGGTTACCTCAGGGTAGTTGAATTACAGGTGACTTCTATTTTTCTTATTTTGCTTTTATTTCTTTTGTTGTTGTTCTTCATTTTCTTTTTATGATGGGTGTGTATAACTTTTGTAATTAAAAAAATAAAGACAAAGTTTTAAAGTATTTATTGGTGACAATGGTTTCCCATTGGAAACAAATGGAAAAATAGACGATTCAAATGTTATTGACACTTGTTCATCTATCAGCAGATTCTATATTGAGCAACATATTACAGGACACATCTTTGGATATGCTGTTTCTAAGGCATCCAGGAAAAATGAAAAAGAAAAGAGAAAAGCCTGTCTCTTGCTACCTCATGAATGCATCATAGGAAGGCATGATTTGTATTTTTACTCTAATCAATACATATAATGTTGAATTAAGAGTTATTTTTTTCATTAAGGCAGCATTTCTAAATTCCTTTTAATCAATCAATTAAGTAGAAGAAGCACAGCTTGGTACGTCTCGCTTAAATTCCTAAATTCTATAGTGAGATTCATTACACATTTACCCATAATTCATAGAACATAAAAGGAATTGACAGATGACTCAAAAATAAACATACTTGCACTCACAAAACCCACCATTTAAAAAGGCATTTAAACATGGCTGAACCAAAATTCTGTGTTGCCTGGGAGAAGACAAAGCAATTTATGAAGACACACAGATCACTGCAGCAGTTCCTATATGACTAAAGATGACAATTACTTCATATCCTGAGCTGTGAAGACACTTATTCTCACTGGGAAAGCAGTAAGTAATCCTTCACCCCCACCACCCCCCTACCCCCGCAACACACACACAAGAAACACCTCACAAAACACTGGCCACCTCCACCAGCAAAATAAAAGGCAGATCCTTGCGTGCCCGTTTTTGCAAATATATCAATAAGGGGATATTTAATAACCTTCCTTTCTTTAAATATGCCTAGCTTTTATCATTATCCCTTCCTTCTCTTAAAGAGAAAGGAGTAAAGAATGAGGGCTTTATTAGTGATGGTGACTTGAGGAAATTAAAAAGATAGCCAAATAAAAAGTAAATG